TGTATCAGTGTGAATCATATTGCAGAAAAAGCATGATTAAATTGAAATTCACTGTATAAAGAGCACTTTTTTCTGTCCTAAATAGTATATTTTCTGATATAATTTGTCTTAATTTAACAAATATGTTTGGTACCAAATACAGTGCTAATGCTAACAGGAAATAATAAATGTAATAAAACAATATAATGATTCCAATTTAAGTTCACAGTCATTCACACACACATTGGTAATCAATTATAAAGCAATATTGAGCAAGACGACCATCTACATATCCTAGAGTGCAGTGACAAGTAGATACAATGAAGAAAGACATTGTAGGAATAATAGTATGACCAACTGTCTAGAATATGGAAACGTGAGATCTTGTTTGTTCTTTCTCTCCTTTCTTTCTCTGGCAAGATCCCACTATTTTTTAAAGCCCTAATATAAATTATAAGCTGACCATTAGTTTTCTCCATCTACTGATTATTCTTTTCTCATAACATCTTTCATTTTGACTCAGTAAATTAAGAACAATTCCAGATTCAATTTCCCAGGTTCAATTTCCCAGGACTTAAAATTGAATAAGGCACAAAGTGATCATTAAAGGTGTCCACTCTAGAATACAGGCAGCTAGGAAAAATGAGAAATAAAGGTGACCTCTAAAATCTAAATTTCAATGATGAGCTAGAGATAGTATAGATTTATGGTCCTTGAGTAAATAGATGGTTTAAGCTCTTCAGGAAAGAGATACGTTTAGTTTTGTTGACAATCCAACATTCAAGTAGAGGAGCTACCTGTTGGTGTTTGTATATGCAGAATTAGAATATTAAAGCAGGCCAGAATTTTAGAAAGAAATTTTAAAGGTAACTTTAACAGTGTAAAATGGATGAGGAGGGTCTAATAAAGCAAATCTAAAGAACAATTTTGTATGGGATAAACAAAGAAAATTTGAAAACAAAATTGAGAGAAATTCAAAGAGAATTCAGAAAAGTTATTGTTGGAGGGCTCCAGGTATAAATAGAAAGGAAAAAAGAAAAGAAAAAAAGATACCAAGGAGAACTGAGAGTTATTAGGCTGGTGGCTCTGGTAACAACCGGATACCATAAAAATTTTTTCAGGGCAGAATGGAAGTCTGTATCTGTAGAAATTTTTCTTCCCTTACTTTAACACCTACACCAATGAACATCTTATCACAAAACAGACTATAAAAAGTATCAGTAGCTTCAGGAAGAGTGAAAAGAAAGTATTTGAAGCTATTTTATTGTTTTACTGTGATTTGCAGAATAACATCATTTTAATATTGCATTAGATAACTTATAGTTCCTTATAATTTTATAAATAAATTTTTAAAGTTTATCATTAACAATTTCAAAAGTTATAACATTTATACCAACTATCACAATTAAACTACAGGAGGGAGGCATTGTTGTTGCAGGAATAAGAAGCCTACACACTATTTTGGGATCGATGGCTACCATTTTTATGAAGTACATGCATTATAAAATACAATAGTAGGAGAATCAAACTACTCAAAGGTAAATTAGGGCCAGAGATTTAGTTCAGTGGTTCTGTGCCTGCCTCACAAGCACAAGGTCCTGAGTTTAATCCCCAGTACCAAAAAAAGGTAAATTACCTTACAAGTAACCTGTTTTACATTTTGAAAATTGTGTACAGGTTGAAAAGACAGGAGTAAATAGCAAGAAATGAATATAGAAAACCAGCTGCCCAGAAAATCTGCCTGATTCAGTATACAGAAATATGTACTTAGGTAGTTAATGGACTTTCTGTATTGTTATGAAAGGACTAAAGACATTACCCATAGTAATATGAAGGTAAATACATTTCACAGTGGAACTAATGTACTAATCTACAATCATATCCTGTGAAATCACAGATACTCTATATATTATCCTTAACCCCACTGAAGTAGATACAGATTCAACTATCTGCTAATCTATTCTTTCAAAAAATAGTTGAGTACTAGGGTGTTGTTGTCAGGCACTGTGGTAAATAGTGGCCATATAATTATAAATAAGATGCATCCCTAGATCTCAGGAGCTGAACACCTAGATATTTCCCAGAGATATTTAATAATAAATAAATAATAAAATGATCTTATAAAATTCACTGTGTTAGTTACTTTTCTCTTGGAGCAGGGACAAAATGCACAATGTCGAAAATTAAAAGGGGAGAGGTTTATTTTGGCTCACAGTTTGTAGAGGTTTCAGTGCATAACCGGCTGGCTCCAAAGCAGGATGGCTGGCAAAAAGGCATCACAGAGGAGCGCAACATGGCTTGCACAAAGTAGCAAAAAAAAAACAAGGGACCCTTGCCAGCATCTTTCTGCCCCTTTTATCTTATCCAGATTACTAGGATTTGGGTGCTGCCAAACCAATCATTATACTGATTTAGTAGTTACATGCCCTTAATCCCAGCATCACACACTTTAGATTCAGCCACTTCTGAAAAAGCCACCTTGGACCACATGAGGCTTTGGGGGCATATCTAAACACAAGCCATAATATCCACTATAGTTGCCAAGTGGTCACCACTTTGAAATGCTTCATCAGATTAATGTGATGTGTCACATGTGAGGTCTATACAACATATCTGGTATTCAAAACACTCTTGTATTATATCCTGAATAAAAAGTTTAATATGTAGCAGTATGTTTTAGGTTAATACAAAGTCATTACAATATGCTTACAACAGATTTCTTCATGATTTCTCCTTATAATCCCTTTTTATATTAATCAGCCTTCTAGTTGTCTTCCTCGTGGCCAGAAGATTTTTACTCTGCCAGTCACATACTAAATGCATGCATAAGGCATAAAGATGTTGCACACCAAGTGATAGGTGAACATAATTTCATTACACTGAAACAAAGAAACATGTTTATTTCTTGGCTGAAAAAGGCCATTGGGAAGTGATTGTTTGTTCAAATCACAAAAAGAGAACTCACAAGGACCCAAACTGCTTCATATATATTCATATGTCAACTACCAAATACAAGCTAATAAATTTAACATGCTTTATCATTCCTCCAATCTCCAGGGAAACAGAAAATGTGCTGCTTAAAATAATAGTTTGTTTAAAAGAACAGTTTTTATTAGAGAAAATGAGAGGTTAAACTTTCCTAGTTCCAAGGCTCTGTTCTATTATTATTCATAGAACCACAATACCCCTTCATAACTGTTGGATTAGAAAGTACACCATGGGAACAAAGGGAGATAGTTGTCCCTTGAAGAAAATGAGATATGATAGATGGGAAATGGAGTTTTCTATTGAATGCTGAGCTATTCAGTTCTCAGTAATTCTGGGTACTGGTAAATGCTTTTATTTAGGATGCATATCCTTAAATGTTATGTTACAAAAATGTCAGGAAATCGGATCTGAACAAACCGGTTTCCCCCTCATTATATAATAACAGAAGAAAAACAAATATATGTATATTGTCCTTGTTTTATTAAACTACTGTGCTTCAGTTTTATATGTAGGGTTTTGAAAACTTTTTCTTGTGTTACTCACTGACATGGAAGCCTTATAATGATCTCATTTAGTTTCCAATCATTAACAGACTTACTGTCTTACTTTCTCATAGTATTAAAACTAAAATAATGACTTATCAAAAAGCAAAATCCTTGGACAGCTCTCCTTTGTGAATCTTTGTGCAAAAGCTGAAAGATCTAATGTATTCAGCCACTTGGTCTAGAGAAGCTATGTATTAAAATTATGAATGCCCTTTTCCATCTTATATTCTCATTATATCCCACTTGTAGACTTAGATAATAAATTTTCTGTCTTATTTAGCTATTTCCTCTAGTTTTGTTCTTAAATGCAACTGCTTATCGAGTTTTGTTGGTTTTTTTAAATCGTTCACAATACAAAAAGTTAACACCCAAGTCAACATCTTTCTTATTTGATATTTGATAAGGACAGAAATATGCTAATTATTTACTTCAACTAAGTTTTGCCTTCTGCATTCTTGCTATAATCTCCGCTAGGTACATATAACATTGTTTGTATCAGTTTTTTTTTTAATTTTGCTTAAACATAAAGAAAGAAATCTCAGGCCGGGGATTTAGCTTAGTGGTTCCACCACCTGCCTCACAAGAGCAAGGACCAGAAAAATCTCTTGATTAGGTTATTTACTTAAATACCTTTTTCTGTTATTCCAAAGTCTACCAGAGTCTGTCTCAATCCTATCTGATAGTATAGTCTCTTCTAATCTATTTTTACATAGCTAGGGAGATGGATATATAATTTCTTAAGATCATCATTAACCACATACTCTAAAGCAAAGGTCTACAAAGTATGGCCTAGGAACTTAATGTGGCTTATCATGTATTTTTGTATATGCTATGGGCTTACAAAAATTAGAAGAAGAATGATATTTTCCATATATGAAAATCCAAATTTCAGTGTCTATAAATTTTCATTGTACCATAACTATGATCGTTTTTTTCATACCATTTACAGGTGATTTCATGCCACAATGATAGCACTGAGTAACATCAAGTAAAACCTCATTGATGCCTATAATATTTACTGCCTGGGTTACGGTAGCATATATATATGAATATGAATATATATATATGAATGATTGTTATAACATTACACTACCTTTCACCATTATTCAATATTATGTTCTATATTCCAGAGTGCATATTTAGATCTTTAGGAAATGTGTATTTGTAAAATTACTGTGGAAGATTGTCAAATCAAAATTCAGTTTGCCTTTTATACTTAAAGGCCTCAAAATCTTGCAAAATGCAGTTGTTCATTTTTACCTGTGAGTCTCTTGCCAAAAAGCGTAGAGATTTTAGTTGGGAAAACAAACCACATGAGCAGGTTCCCAGGCTATAGGTTGGTGATTAAATATCATTCTAAAAGTGAGCATTTATTGACTCTGATATTCAGTCATTCTTTTAGCACAGAAATCCTGCAGTGTATATGCAAAATTATCTCTATTTACATCAGAGATGATCATGTCACAGAAGGATTTTTAACTAACTTACCCAAATTTGTAGAAGTAGGCAGGTAGGGGAGCTGGACTAGGAACCTAAATTATCCAACTTCAGAGACATGAGATCCACCACTATGCTGAGATAACCTTCAAAGAATCTAAATGTATGAGATATATTAGCATACAAATATATGAAACTTAAATTAGCAGATTCCATTTTCAAAAGAAAATTAATTACTTTTCCTCACAAGGCAACAGTATGAATATATAATAAGGCTACTCAAATATATAAAATATTATCTTTGAAGACAAAGCAGCATAGCAAACCACTCAACAAACATACACATGCATACATATCTGCATGCACACAATTACAGTCACAGTGGTAAGATGTGCTTCTGCAGGCAGAAAGATCCTGTACTGAATTATGATGCTTATCAACTTACCAGAATTAAAGAAGTCTTATAAGCCACACGTTTTGACCATAGAGGAGTTGCTTTAAGTTCAAGAAGTGTCTCTCCTTCAGGCAATAGCCCCATCAAGTTTTCCTCATCATAAGATCTGGATACTGTTAACATAAAATGTTTGCTATCATTAGTAGCCTGTAAATAGAGCATAAGGAACAAACAGCCTGGGGTAGTCACAGTTCGCGCAGTCGCCAAATACCGATGAGCACAGAGATTGAGCTATCTTTTAACCTTATTACTGTTTTTAAGTTGATTTCAAGATATGAGGTCTCTGGAATGAAGAGACAGAATTTCACTGCTGCTGGCATAACATTTGTCAGCAAATTGCCTTGGATATTTTATCAACACAATACACTGCCTCTCACAGGAGATACTCCTAAGTGAAATAAATAAGTCACATGTGTAAATACCGAATAGTTTCTCTAGTGTAAATAAACTGTACTAGCACATAAGATCCTAATGAGACAACTGACAGTATGAAATGGGAAGAAAAGGGCCAAAGGTGTAGGGAAAGTGGGAAGGGTAGGGGAAAGGTAATAAGGGAAAAATATGAGAAAATGAAAAAATGGAAATAAAGTGTTTGTAAATTGGGAGGGGAGGAGGGGGTGAATGGAGGTCAGGGACAAGGGGAAAAAATGAGAACCAAGACCTGTCATGTAGAGGTACAAGATCCCAGTGATGAATGTAACTGTACTGTATCCCTAAAATGTACCAATAAACTCAATAAAAGAAAAAAATGACAAATGCTGAAATGATATTGTAATATTTGGCCACTCTTTTCCTGAAGGTCAATGTAAGAACACCAAACAATTAATTATACCATAACATGACATATTTAATTACAAATGCATATATTATTGCTACTAAATAAAGTTACTTTTATTATAGCAATTTCACATCTCAAAACAACACATTTCCCCATATAGGAATTCTGCAACCTGAAATCATGTGAAAATAGTACTTTTTATGAGATGATATTCTATCTTAAAGGTTGACTTTAATTTAAAGGCATGTCCTTTTATTAATATGCACTTGTGATCCAAAATAAATATATCCATGGGGGAGTAAGGACACATACACATCACATCTTAATCCGTCGTACTTCCTTTTCCCTCCTCTCCCACCTCCCCACCTCCCCAGATCCCCTTCCCATATCCACAATGAAGTTCTGTTAAAACAGGAGAAGTTGAACAGTCTAATGTTGGTATGGAACAGCGGCCATAATGACAATAATGAAAAGCTTTCAATATTTTTCACTGCTTTTAAAATTGAATAGTTTTGTCCCAATCATATGGAATGTTCATTACCTCCTCCTGACAAATTAAAACACCAATAATGGCAGTAACCATACATCTTGTCTATCTTTCTGCCATAGCCAACACCCTGTGACATAGCAAGAATTTAAAGTTCATAACCTTCCACTCAGTTGATAGGAAAGTTTTCATTAGAAGTAAGTTCTACTGTGGCCCTATAACCTACATTTTAAAGCTCATTATCCTCTTTTTTAGTAGTGATGAGCTGACAACTATAAAGCATTCATGGAAACACAGTTGCAAGCTTTGAGAAATGCTTCCAGAATGTCACCTAATGTAGCAATGGCCTATGCAATATGACTGCCTATTGTACCAAAATCAATAACTTGCATTGTTTACATAAATCCACACATATACACACACGTACATATACACAAACACACACACACAGGGGCTGGGGATTTATTTAGTTCAGCGGTTTGGTGGCCTGCCTCGCAAGTGCAAGGACCAGAGTTCAATCCCCGGTACCAAAAGGGGAAAACACACACACACACACACACACTCACATGGGGCTTTAATATTTAGTTATAGATTAATGCCTTTTTTTCTTGCTATCAACAGTTTTTGCTTACCATACTCCTGTAGTTGTTTGACATGAACAACTTTCTTTTTCCATCCATCAAACAGCAGTACTCACCAGGAATGCAAATAACCCCAAGACAGACAGTTTTGATAGTCAAGAAAATGTTAATCATTACATACACCATACCACATTTACCACCTCTAATTTATTGTTTTCCTACAATGTGAAGAAATTTGAAAACCAGCTTGCCTAAATGACTTGTATAATAGCAACCAAATTTTATAAGTAAAAAAAAAAAAGAAGCAACTTTGTATTCATTTAAAAGTCCAAAACTTAAAAATGTCATGTGTAGATTTAGTAACAAATTAAATATTCACTTTACCCTCATCTTCATTTTATTTAAAATATTAAATATATAAATATTGGGACTTTATATTGTAGGAACTGTATTGAAAGTATATTCCAAATCATATCTGTCTAGACCTCTAGATGGCAAGCTTTAGCAAATTTTTATGACTGGCCTGAATTCACAGTTTCTTACCAGTTCTGTATAATCCACCTATTGAAATGATTTCCAGTTTAATAAGCTACTCAGATATGTTTGTGCTTTTACGAAAAAAGGGAAATGCATTTTTTCCCAGAATTTAATCTTTTTCTTTGTGATTACCTAATTGTAAGGAGATGGTGTCCCAGTGTCTCCTAGCAGTGCCTCTGCAGTGTGCTGAATGTTCTCGAAAAATTTTACCTGATAAGTGATTTCAATTGGCTTCTTAATAATCAAATATTGCTTTATAATTATAAAGATTAGTTACAGCTTTTGTTAAGGGATTCTAGAGATCTCAAAGGATAATAATAAAAGTCCTTTGAGAAATATAAAGTCGATGGTATGTATATGAATGTGACATCAGAATCCTCTCTTCTTCAAGCATATATTTTCCAAACCATGACCAATTTCCATATCACATGTGTTCTGTAACCACTGGTAGTCCTTCTGTCAAGTTCAAAACACTATTTTCAGCGCTAACTGTATGTAAAATTTACCATGGGCTGAACAGAAATAAAATTAGAGTTCATAATTAAAATATAAGCAAGTGGCATTGAAATGAACAAGTTAATTTTGTGAAAAACATAATTTGCAAAACAAAAAGTCTCCAGCTTATAAACATTCAAGTTTTGAACTTTGATAGTTGCACTCTGCTAGAATCACTTTGTCAGCTTAGAAAAGAAATAATAATTCTCCCAGAATAGAACTCATTCTAAGTTAGGGACTTACTGTAATGTTGAAATATAAAATGTAATTATACCCATGATACATATCCTAAACTTTCAGTGAAGATTTGAACATGTCCTAAAGCTAGTACTGTCTATAAGCAAATCCATAAGTCAGCACATTGAATATTATAGAACCCTCTTCTAAAAGATGGTTCATCCCACACACATATGGCTAACTGTGGGGATAAAATTTTAGTGTGATATAATACTGGATATTCATCACAGTGGGGAATCTGACTTGATTAACATAAACATCTGAGAAAAACTGGGACAGTTCTTTTCAAATTCCAACTTCTAGCAACCAGGATGGGCCCCTACCCAAAGTGAACCAAGAGTATTTCCCAAGGATTATAAAACTGATAGTTCTTTGTAAATTTTGTAAAATAGTGAAAAATGTTTCTTCTTCCTATATAAATACAGGCTGAGGGAGAGGGAGAAAGTTCCATTTATATTTTGCAGTGCTGGGAATGGAACCCAGAGCTTCAACATGTTAGGCAACATCCCAGCTCTCCAGTTATTCTCCGGCTGAGCTTTCTTACCTTTCCAGACTGTGAGATAGCCTAGAAGTCATTCATTAAGTTATGAATTTGCTTAAGCTTTCTTAAGCTTTGTTTTGAAAACTTGAAATCAGTGGAAGCTTAACTAATACTCTGTTTCTTTCTGTCATTATGTTTTGAAGGAAAATAATTTTAGAAATTAATTAAGTTCATAGTTTTGATTATTATTTATGCAAATACCAAGAATGAATATACTTTTTAATTTTGATGGAAGCATTATATATACTTTCTCATAACATTAGGCACATTATTTTTATAAGAATAAATAAAATAGTGCATTTAAATTACATAGCATCAATATAAAGAAGTCTGTGACCATACTGCAGAGAAAACTCAAAGCTAAGATTTCTTTTCATTAAAAGTACAACAGTCCTTTGGGGGTATACATGCACGTATCCTTCAAGAAATACACTGAGACCTTTTCTAGCTTTGCAATCATATTTTGCTGACATTGTGCATACTTAATTGAAATGAGATGTAAAGAAGAAGCCGTAGCTCGAACTTGGCTCTCCTATATACAGACTCGATGACCTTTCAAAAACTCCTTATCACTCAGTGTCACATTTCTCCTAGACAAAAAGGCTTCCTCTCATTTTTTAGCACAACCTTGAGATTTGCTTTATAGATGCTTATGGAATCTATTTTAATTTTGCATCATGAAAAGTGCAGATGGCTTCTAGTAGATCCTCGCACCCTGCAAGGTGGAGAACACCTGTGTGAGAATCCACACCATCACAGGGGAAGAAAGAAGTGGGGTCGTGAACAGCTACTTGGGCTCACAGATCTGCTTGTGCCCACATCAGTCCTGCTTTTTTACTTTCATGTGAGCTAATAATTGTGTATTTCCCCTTTACTAGTTTGTGTACGGCTTCATTTAGAGCTAAAACCATCTGGAAAAGTACAATGTCAAACCTCCTGATTCATGTTTTTCAGTGACATCTCTTATTTTTCATGGTGCCAAAGAGTAGAATCACAAATTGAAAATAAAAGGAAAACTACTTTTATTTTTGCACTCATTCTAGATTTTATAGGCATCTATTGCTGTCTAGATGTAATTACATACATGAAAGCAGCATAAATTTCTATCAGATCATGTATACAGATATCTGTGTTTAGAAATATGTTATTGACATATAAAGATTGACAAAGGTTTTCAGAAACTGAGAAAATTAAAGAAAAGTGGATCAAAATTTACAATATGAAATGTCAGAGATTAATCTGTTTAACATAAGATTAGTGAAAACTGCCTAACAGATATTCAAGTGGAAAATATAGCAGGGATTTTACATTATGGCAAAAATATCCAAAGTAACTAATTTGACTTAACGAAAGTAAACATCAATAACATTAAAGAGAATTGTTTTACTATTTTTTCTTGGTTTTCCTTGCTCTGTCATGTGCCATATGCTGGGTACCAAAATATTCAAAAGCTGAAGACTTGTAGAAGAGTGTGATTGAAATATTAAAAAGGGGTATTTAGCTAAACATTTCTATAACAAGGGTTAGAAGAGAGAAATCTCTAGGGAAAAGTCCAACAAAGGCATAGTACCACAAACCTGAACTGAAATTCATCACATTACCTGATTTCTCCAATCCCAGCTTCTTCATCTAAGATATTGGATTGACAAAGAAAGAGAAAGAGAGAGAGAGAGAGAGAGAGAGAGAGAGAGAGAGAGAGAGAGAGAGAGAGA